CCCCGCGGGGGGGGGGGGGCGCCCGGGCAGCCCTGAGCAGCCGGAGAGCTGGGCCCCTCACCCGCGTCCCCACTGTTGAGGTGTGGCAGCGAGGCTCCCCTCCCCCAGACCAGGTCCCGGGAGAGCCTGCAGGCCTGGGCTGTGCTCGGCCACTCGGCCGCCCTGTGACCTTGGCCACCTTAGACAGCCTTCCAGCACCTTGCTCTCCTCCCCTGTAAAATGGGGACAGCAGTCATACTGACCTGAGAGCATTTCTCGATTGCTGAAGGAGGAAGTTTGGCACCTGGCACACTCTTGGAAACAGGTCTACTTTTTATTTTATTTATTTGTTATTTATTTATTTTTAAATTTTAATGTTTATTTATTATTGAGAGACAGAGACAGAGCATGAGGATGGGAGGGGCAGAGAGAGGAGGAGACACAGAATCCAAAGCAGGCTCCAGGCTGCGAGCTGTCAGCACAGAGCCTGACACGGGGCTCGAACTCACAAACCACAAGATCATGACCTGAGTTGAAGCCGGACGCTCAACCGACTGAGCCACCCAAGCGCCCCAGAGGTCGACTTTTTAAATTAAATTAACCAGGTCATAAATATCAGTCATGACTATGACTGTAGATGGCACCCGTGCACCTCACATTCACAACTAAATCCCTCTTGCTTGTCCTACTGACCCCAGAAGGGGGCCCGGGAGGCCCCTCCCAGCAGTCCTGTCCTCCCCGTGGTGGGCAGGATGCACCCCCAGGGAGACACCTCTTGGCCCCTTCGCTCCTTAGGAGGTGGGCCTCCTGTCGTGTTCTTGTAATTATGTGACTTTTCTGGTTGCGAGGGCTTCCTGAAGGAGGAGGGATTTGAGGTGAGCCCTGAAGGCCCCTGGGGGACACCGAGGAGGAGGCAGAGGGGCAGGGAGGGGGCTTCCCCTCCCCCCACCCCCCACCCCCACGCTCCCGTCTGTGTGCCCAGGTGACTCCTTCACCATGGCCCCTGCCCCAGGCCCTCTGGGGACTGACACCTCCCTCGGTCTCCCCCCCACTGCCAAACCTGTCCCATTACCACACCGCCGTGCCGGGGGCTCTTCCTGCAGACCTGTGGGACGCGGGGCGCGGTGCTCAGGAAGATACTCTGCCCCGGGTCCTGGGCCCCCCCCCCCCCCCCCGCAGCCTGCCTCTCCCCCTCTGGAGGTCATCTCTCTGGGTCCTGGATCCCCCTGACACCAGAGCTCCTGCTTGTCCTCAGCGCTCAGGTCCCCTCCCCCCTCCCTGCCCTCCCTCACCGGTGACCCTACTTCCCCAGGTCTCCTATCGGCCCCCTGCTCCCCACCTCCCCTGTGCCCCTGACACCCCCCATCCCCCAGCCCAGGGCCGGTGCTCTGTCACAGCCCGGTTCACTGTCCATGTCCGTCCACGGAGGGCGAGGAGAGACGGACAGAAGCAGGCCACTGTCGGTGGCAGGTGGCAGGGTTAGCAAGCGAGGGGCCTCGCAACGAGGCCCGTCTCGGGGCCGGGAGACAGTGGGTCTCTGCACCCACCTGCCAGATCTTAGTTTCTACAGCGGCCTTCCGGGGCTCAGTCACGCGAACTGTCCAGAGGGTCTCAGCGACGCTTTGCTCCCTCGAGCCTTCGTTCCTGAAAACAGCTCCCATTGTGGGAACGGGGGCAGAATGTACATTCCGGGATGGGGGAGGGGGTGAGGGGCCTCTGACTGCCTGGGTCCAGCTCGTGGGTCAACCTGCAGTCATGTCGATGACCTACTCCAGCAGCCCGCCCCTGGGCTGGCAGGGACCTCCTGCCTCCCACCACGGTCGCCCTGGGCTCGCCAATGCCCACAGGCCCTCAGTCCCTGAGCACTGGGCTGCAGGTGCACTCGGGGCCCCAGGGAGGCGGAGGAAGGAGGGCCTGGAGGGTATGGGAGGCTGTCCCCCCCACCCCGGGTATCACCTGGTGCCGCCCCCACCCCTCCACGCCCCAGCCAGCCCTGGCTCTCTCCCCAGCTCCCTGTGGTGCTGAGTCTGGAGTCCCCATGGCCTCGCTGAGCAGAGCCCTGCGTGTGGCCGCCACATGCCCTCGCTGGAGCCGGACGCGGGGCCTGGGGCTGCGCGCCCTGACCGGCCAGGCCGGCCCCACCGCCGAGAAGAGCGTGCCGTACCGGCAGACCCTGAAGGACCCCCAGGGCCCCTCGACGGTGGCCCGGGGCCCAAGCCAGCCCCTGCCCAGCACAGCCCACGTGGTGGTCATCGGCGGGGGCAGCTTGGGCTGCCAGACCCTGTACCACCTGGCCAAGCTGGGCGTGAGCGGGGCAGTGCTGCTGGAGCGGGAGCGGCTGACCTCCGGGACCACCTGGCACACGGCAGGTAGGGGCCGGGGCAGGGGGTGCTGGAAGGGGCTGATTCCGGGTTGGCAACCCGAGGCAGCCGCGCTGGAGGAGGAGGGACAAGGAAGACGCGGGTTCACCCGAAGGTGGGGGGGCCCTCCTGGCCCCCCACGTCTCTGAAGAGCAGAGGTGGGGAGGAGGGAGCGGGGCTGCCACCGGAGCTGGGGGCCCAGACGGCTGTCTGTTCCGAGAGCGGACACCCCTCCCCAGACAGAGCCACCGTGGATGAGGGGGGTCCTCCGGCGGGTCTAGAGCACAGACGGGGAAGGAGCCATCGGGGCGATGCAGAGCGGTGTCCTCCGTGGGCACCAGGTGCGTCCGTGAGTCTCAACCTGCTAGCTAACCAGTGGGCACGCATGAAGCGCCTACGGTATGCACGCAGCCGACCCTCTGCCTTAACCCCGGGTCCTGGGCTAAGTTTGCCAGTTTCTGGGGGGTAAGCACCCCCACCTTGGCTAACGTCGTGCTGCCAGCGTGAGGTCACTGGACGTGGGGTTGGGAAGCAGTCCGGGCCTCGCGCTCAGGCCTGCACACCGCTGCCTCTGCCTTCCCACCGTCCCGTCGCTGTGAGACCGGCCTCAGCCCTGGCCACCACGCCCCCACACTCTGCTCTGAATGGGACAGCCTGCACCTGGGCTTCTCGGTCCTGGGTCGGGGTCCTGGCCCCATCGTCCCCTGCTCTGCTGTCCCGAGAGTGGAACTGTTTGGTGCCATTTAATGTCACCGTAAACTAATCATGCTGACCCCAGGGGGCTGTTCTGTCAGCCTGTGACAGGCTGAGCCCTGGGCTTGGCACGCAGAAAGTGTTCGTAAATAGGACCTTCGATAGTGCCACAATCTGAGGTGCCCAGGGGCCAGGAGCCCGGTCCCCAGATCATCTTGGACCCTGTGATTTGTTTTTAAATTTTATTTATTCTTAGAGAGAGAGAGAGAGAGAGAGAGAGAGAGAGGGAGCATGCACAGTGGTGGTGGGGTGGGGGCGGAGAGAAAGCAAGAGAATCCCAGGAAGGCCTCTCCCTGTCAGCACAGAGCCCGACGTGGGGCTCAAGGTGGGGCTCGACCTCACGAACCACGAGATCGTGACCTGAGCCCCAGTCGGATGCTTAACCGACCGAGCCCCCCAGGCGCCCGGCGCTGTGATTTCTTGCTCATCTGCCTCTCCAAGTCCCCCGTGGCCTTCAGAGGAAGACCCAGGCCCGCCGCCTGTTCTTTGGGAGCCCGGGGCCTGCCGGGAGGGAGGAAGGGGTGCCCCACTGCCTTGCCGGGAACTGATGGTGCCCTGCCCCTTCCCGGCCAGGCCTGCTGTGGCAGCTTCGGCCCAGCGACGTGGAGGTGGAGCTTCTGGCCCACACCCGGCGTGTGGTGAGCCACGACCTGGAGGAGGAGACGGGGCTGCACACGGGCTGGATCCAGAATGGGGGCCTGTTCATAGCATCCAACCGGCAGCGTCTGGATGAGTACAAAAGGCTCATGTCGGTGGGTGGGAGCTCGGGCGTGGCACTGGGGGGGGGGGGGGAACGGGACAGCATGGCTCAGGGAAGGAGCCCTTGCTGGCGGGCCACCTGGGACAGGCAAGCCTTGGCATGCTCGCCTTCAAAATGGGACCGTGTTGTGGAGCACGGTCGCCGAGCCCCGGACACAGGGGAGGCCCCACAGTGGAGCTGTTACCGTCACCGGGCTGTGCTCAGGGGAGGCAGGATCAGTAGGAGGTCGCATTCACCAGGAGGCGTCCCCGACAAAGAGAAAGCTTTATGCTGCTGAAGAGCCTTGTATTGAGGTGGGGACATGGGTGAGGCCGGCTTCTCCCGCCATCTGTCCCCTTATAGAGCACCAACCGAATGCCCGCTCAGGGCGCAGTGAGCAGTGTGGCCAGCAGGGGCTCATTGTCACAGGGATGCTGAGTCCCCTGGGACCCCAGGCTGCAGGCAGGGGCAGCTGGCTTCACCAGGGCAGGTGTGGGTTCCTGGGCAGAGGCGCTGGCCCCATTCGGCCTCATCCTGCCCCTGGGCTCGCTCGTCAGCTGGGACCGAGGCCTCCAAAGAAAGCCCCAGCCCCAGCCCCAACCTTCTAGCCCAAGTTCCCAGCAGCTCCCTGAAGCCTCAGCCACTTTCATTCTGAGACAGAGAACCCAATTGGCTCAGCTTCTTTCTAGTTGGGTGGGGCCTGTCCCCTTGTGATACCTGGGGACACTTGATTGGCTGCCCGGGGGCCAATCAAATGTGCCGGTGTGGCCAGTCCTGCTAAGCCAGGGACCTGAGACCCAGGATCGGGTTGGCCTCCTGGGAGCTGGTCCGACTGGGGAATCTGGTCCTCAAGCCCAAAATGTTTGTTTCTGTAAGAAGCCCCTTCCTCACCAGAGACTGGTCTGAGCCCGTTAGGGGTGTCAACCACATAAGCCATTATCACCCCATGTCCCCAGGGGAACTTCCTGGAGGAGGCAAGGTTGGAGCTGCAGCTCGGAGGCCCAGAGGATATCTGCTCCCCGAGGACTGACTTACCTGCCTTTGGGTCCCTCTAGTTGGGCAAGGCGTATGGCGTGGAGTCCCACGTGCTAAGCCCGGCCGAGACGAAGGCACTGTACCCGCTGATGAACGTGGACGACCTGTATGGGACCCTGTATGTGCCGCATGACGGTACGATGGACCCGGCCGGCACGTGTACCGCCCTCACCAGGGCTGCTGCTGCCCGGGGAGCCCAGGTACCAAAGGCCGCCTGGCCCTGTGCCCCCCGCTCCTGGCCCCAGGAACCCCAAGAGCCCAAGGAAAGGAAACAGGTGCCATTCTCTCTGCTGTGTGACCTTGGGCCGGGACAGCCTCTCTGAGACTTTTGATCTGCCCCTGCAAAGGTGGGCGGTGCCTCGGGGGATGTCAGCCTTCCTTCCTTCCCCGAGGCTCTGGCCGTGCTAGACAAGGGAGTCCTCTCCGGATCTCTTCTTGTGTTTCTCGTCTTTTATGAGATAAACACAGAGTTGTAGAACTTATTGGAAAAGACAGAAAAGCAAAAGAGAAGAAATGAAAATCACCCAGAGGGAAAAAACGTTGAGATTTTAGTTTGACCCCAAATACGTGTTTAGGAAGATACACTTGTATGCAACGTGGAAGCAAGCCACACTGATGGGTGACCTTTTTACCGAAGGACTAGACCACAGACACCTGTTAG